CAGATTACTTACTAAGGCGATCCGTCTGTTCGTCCATAAAAAAGATGTCCAGTCAACGAAAATGTAGCCAGGTTCCCATGTAAATAGCAGCTCTTGTGGCGTACAGATAGATATTCAGGGTTACGAAATCAGTTTTTAGGAGCTTTGATTTTGAATGACGTAAATCGGGTACCTACCTATGTACATTCAAAATTGTTTTAGATTAGGCAACGTTCGGGACAACATTTAGTCGTTTTCACATTACAAGCTTACAATCTCTCATTTTGTAGTTGATCATTAACTGGTTTATTTTTACGTAGACATTATGCATGATCAACTCGCCACTTTAATCATTCAGGATACAAGTGATAACTTATCGTTTGGTTTGGAGAACTGGATGTCTGTTGACGATGTAGTCTAGTAGTTCATTATACCTAGTCCTAACCCAACTAAACTCTAGCTACTAAAGGACTATAGGACCACACACATACGTCTCGAAACCAAAACTATATGATAATAAAACATGCCGAACAATAGCGGTGGACAAATGCAGTTTAGCCTATCGGTCCGAGATTCAATGGCGGCTAATATTGGCACTCATCGACGGCCTGTGACGTAAGGTAATTGTTCTTATGATGTGGAGTTTGTTTGTTGATACGGCACTGGATGAATGGCAAAAACATGTTGTTAGAACGGCTTCGCTTCCTCTTAGATGTGTTTCGTTGGAATGTGTATTTAACGTCGTCAGTTCTGTTCCTTTGCTGAATTTGCCGTTTCAATAGGAACTAGGTTTGCGTAGAGGTAGGAGATCAGTAGTTCATCATCATCAACAGCCTATAAATGCCCCTGCGGAGCAAACACCACAATTGCTGAATGTGGGTTAGCGAATTCAAACTTATAATTAGAACTTATAGGCCCTTTTCTTACAAAGTTTTCTTTTACCGTCTGTCTGTGGAGGTCTGTTTGCCAATCGGCAAAGTCTGTCTGTGGTGTCTGAATAATCTTAGAAAGTGCATAAATATAACTCGAAAAAAGTCACATTGGTACTTGCCGTTGGTAGGTTTCGAACTCGTCTTAAACCTCCGGGCCGTCGCGGAGAACCTAACGCGTTACCGGGGCTCCGGCTTCAAGTGCATGAGTAGGAACGGGGTGGTTTTTAGTAAGTAAGAGTCTGACACTCCCGAGCCTCACCCGGGCGGGAGCAGTCATTCGATAATATTCCCACATTAAAAAAAACCTCCGGGCCACCACGTCTACAGGCGTGCTGGCTGATAATAAGACAATGAAAATACCTATAGAATGCATAAACTATAACTCTCAACCGAAAACTATTTACTACCAACTTCCTACCATAACTATTATCTATACAAAACTTCAATAAAATATAATCTAAATACACTTTTAACAATCCACTTGAACGTTATCACTACGTTAACTGCGTTAGACACTTCAAAATATCGTATAGATAACTCCAATAGTCAAGCATTGTTACCGTTTATCAGTCAATTAAACGAATTAACTAGTTACATGTTAAACTATATTGTTTTAATTGCTCCAAGATTAAACGTTGTTAGGTTAGGTTTTATTTTCCTTGATACTACTATAAATACTTGAGCTTTCCGCAAGATCAAAGTCGTAATAAATTATAAGCCTCGAACACAGGCGTAAAGTCGCAAGCCTTTCGGTCTTCTATCGGATACATTTCCTTATTCGCCCTGGTCCGTTTCACCACAGGACTAGAGGCGTGTTCCATCGCTGGCCACATCATCGCTTACCACCAGGCGACATGGTGGTCAAGCGTCACCCTAACTATCAAGTATAAAAAAAACACCTAAGTCTTCCTCAGGGATCATACTATTTATTGATGAGAGCTGAGAGCCTTATGAAAATCCGTCCGATAGTTTTTGAGATTATCGCTTACAGACAAACGCGAAAGAGACCTCCTTTTTACCGACTTCAAAAAAAGAAATAGTATCAATTCTCATATGTTAGGAGAACGTCTAAATTTTTGCCTGTGGCTTCGCCTACGTTCTACCTAATTTAAAACATTACTATCGATATTCTATCCTGTAGGAATATCAGGTTAAAAACTATCCTATCTCTCTAAAGTAAGTTGTCCAATAGTGAAAGAATGATTCAAATCGGTCCAGTAGTTTTGGAGCCTATTCAGCGCAAACAAACAATCAAATACTTCCTCTTTATATTTGTTAGTATAGACTAGTATAGTTTATTTTTATCTTAGCACTGTGTATTTTATTATGATATTGTGTTTACTCGGCAGATAGTAGACGGAATATTCAAATACCACATTTATACGTCATTTTTAATTATGAGTTCATTAACTACGTATCGGACCGTTCTGTGAACAAACTGCAACTTATGATTTACGCACGAAACTGTTTTTTTTATGTAAACGCCGGTAAACGATCAGACGGATCACCTGATGGTAAGCAATCGGCGTCGGCCATGGACACATGGAACATCAGACAAAATTACAAGTGCGTTACCGGGCTTGGGGATTAGGAGTTTGAGGATCATTGGGGATTCAGGAATTGGGGAGATTGGGGAAGGGACGGTAATTGGGCCTCTGGTAACCTCACTCACACGACGAAACATAACGCAAGCGTTGCTTCACGTCGGTTTTCTGTGAGGTTTCGCTTTGACGAGGTAACTTGACTAGTTTCGAGCCTTGTTCGGGATTCATAGTTATGAGCAAACGACATGGAGATTGTCACACTGTCAACTGAACCGCTTTCTGTCTAAATCAGTTAAGGGTTTAGTAGAATACCAGCGCAAGAGCACAATTTTTCATCATTAATAGTCCGTCTACTGTTGGACACTTGGACGTGTTTTTTTAGGGGGGAAAAACATTGAGTGACTCCTTCACTGACGAACTGACTGATGAATATTCTATTTTGACGTAGTACAATTCAATTTTTTATAAGTAAAAGTAGCCAGAGGTACCCTTATGAGTAACTAATGTGAGTGTGTTTGCGTTGTGTTTCGTCGTGTGAGTGAGGTTACCGGAGGCCTAATTACCCTCCCCTTCCCCAATCTCCCCAATCCCTGAATACCCAACGATCCTCAAACTCTTATTCCCCAAAAAGCCGGTTACGCACTTGTAACGCTCCTGGTATTCCAGGTGTCCATGGGCGACGCCGATCGCTTACCATCAGGTGATCCGTCTGCCAGTTTACCAGCTTATGCCATAAAAAAAACTAATAAAACAAATATTTACTATCTGATAGATATTCCACCCACTCGAATGAAGCTTTTCGCTTCAGGTTTTCTTGTGCAAACAGCAAAGGAGTGGAACCATGAGTGGAACGCTTTACCAGAGTCTCTGTTTCTAGAAGGATACAACCTGTCTTTCTTCCAGTCAGGAGTGAATAGGTTGCTTATAGACAGGCGTGTTTCATCGTAGGCCGCATCCTCGCTTACCATCAGATGAGTGGACTATCGCTTACTGAATTATTACCAAGTTAAAAAACTACTGAGAGAATAAAAGATGTTATGTTATGTTATGTTGCCCTACACCGGAACAATAACACAACTGTCTACAAATACAACAGTATAATGTGATTATTATAACGAGAACAGTCCGACATAACATTTTATAATGTCATAAAATGTCTTCAAATGTAGGTTAACGCGGCGCTCTATGATTTTTGTGAGTTCGCGCTGTGGCGCCTGTGTTAGCGGATTGTAAAGAGCGGTTGAATTTATACGATAAGCTAAGCGACAATGCTACATGATGAGAAAGTAACTATGTATGTACCTTCAATATTGTAAATAGACAGTTTTTCTGAAAAGAATAGAAATAACTATAAAAGCTTAGTTATTAGAATTGTTTATTATTAAATATTAATATGATATAGAATTAAGAGGAAGGTCAGTGTTTTCAGAGTTATTCAGTATCTAAACCAGAATTTAAATGAATCGGTTGTAAAACGAAACAAAAACATTGTTTTTACATTTATAATGTTAGGGTCATAGATAAACTAGCTTCTGCCCGCGGCTTCTCCCGCGTTCCCGTGGGTTATAAAGGATATATATATGTGTGTGTTTAATAATACCGTAATCATTTCAAATTTCATCCAACAAACATACCACACAAACACAAACTTTCGCATTTATAATATAGTAAGATTATTATTAACTACATTTAACTTCGACGATATTATTAAGTTACCATACAGGCATAGCTCCAAATAGCTGCAATTTTCTTTAGTAAAATCCGTAACGTGTTATCCGCTATCCGCTCTCACAAAAGCTCCACCTTAACATTTTATAGGACACAAACGTAACCCATAAAAGTCTCGCCGACCTACTGTATAATATTTTCTCCAATTACGAACATTTGTATCGGAATCTGATGGAATTTGGTACATTTTATACAATTTGTTGACTGAAGCGTTCTGTAAATGTCTAAATCGTCCGCGGAAATGGTTAAACGGATTCGTATCTATAGATATAGTTAACCTATACATCGGTGTGTGCTCAATCCGTGACCGTTCGCTGGTGTAGTATGAGTCTCCTCCTTACATTTTTGCTTTGGGGATTAGTGTCTACTCTAATCTGCCATCACCATACAGAAAAATCCTAAATGTGCCTAGGTTTAAGGGAGAGCCATGCTTCGGCACGAATGGGCCGGCTCTACCGAATTGATACTACGGCCGAGCACAACACCATAGTGAAACAACGCTTGCGTTGTGTGAGTAAGGTTATCGGAGGCCCAATTAGCCTCGCCCCCCATTTCCCCAATCCCTGAATCTCCAACAATAATCCTCACATTCCTAATCCCCAAAATACCGTTAACGCACTTGTACCGCCTTTGGTGTTTCAAGTGTCCCTGAGCGGCGCCGATTGCTTACCATCAGGTGATCCGTCAGCTCGTTTACCAGTATATCCTATAAAAAAAACCCTAGGTATAAATCACAGCTCCATTTTGTACCCTATTATCATACTAGTTCTGATGTCAATGTTTGTGTTGCTTGCAGGGCTCGCCCCACGGATCGGTGATGTCGTGTCAGTCGCTCGCCGCTCGCGCCTTCGCCGAGCCCGAGAAGGACATGACACATTGCAGTAGTTTCCACAGGTAAGATTATATTGATGAAGCTTGGTTGACATAACATAACATAGGTAGGCAGAGGTGCACACAGAAGTAATACTCACTTTTCACTATTTATGTTATGAGTCCCATGTAATAGGGGGTGAGCCTATTGCCATATACCGGGCACATTTCCAGACTCCATGCTACTACTGATTTTTTTTTTAAAAAACCCAGTTATACTTTGCCCCACCCGGGAATCGAACCCGAGACCCCTTGCATGCAATCGCACTTGCGACCACTCGGCCAACGAGGCAGTCTTGCTTGGCAAGCTTGGTTGAGTTGTAAAGAATATCGAAATCAATTCCTTATTAGCCATATGGTGCTGCTAGCAATTTTAAAGTTTTACAGAGCCATGCTTCGGCACGAATGGGCAGTTGTAATGCGTCTGGTGTTTCGGGTGTCTATGAGCGGCACCGATTACCACCAGGTAAACGAGCAGGTGTTTACCGGCTTATCCCATAAACAAAAGCAGGCTCTCTAAGACATCTATCAAAATCAGATAGATAACTTCTGCTTATTCCTTTTTTTTCTATTCAATTCCAGTCATATATTTTAACATACCCTCTATACTGAAATCAATCAATATTGAATCAGGAGTTTACGTGTAAAATCTTTACAAATTAACATACATAATTCTGTACAGGACAGGCATAATTTTAACCTTGTTATTAATTGATTCCAGATCAGTGCGGTTCAGTTCAGATTCCCGGAGCTCCACCAGAGCGAATGATGCGGAGAATAAAAGGGAGACGCCCGGTGAGTCCACTATAATGTCTTTCTATAATCTTTGAACGTTGATTCGCCTGCTTTTTGACCGACTTCTTAAAAGGAAGTTGAGTTTGAACTGTGTTTATGTATTTGTATGTTTGTATGCACTTATCTCGCAATTGGCTGAACCGATTCTGTTGCTGGTTTTTCAGAAAAGTGTTCGTTACACTTAGGAGAAGGTTTTAGTTTATTAATTAACCGACTACACAAAAGAGGGGGTTAAAGTCGGTTTTTTTAAAGTAGTTTATAAAATTATGGTTTATTGGTTAGGGTGACAAACGAGCAACTGGAAAAGGCCGGTAAGCAATCAGCGCCGCCCATGGACACCCACTTGAGGAGTTCAAAGTGCGTTATTATTATATTATTTTAGGAAATGAGGATCCATAAAGCACAACAATTCTCTTTCGCGGCGTGATGTCACTCCGGTCGAGCCGAGAAAGATGTTAGAACAACATTTTAGTTTAAAGTAACCGATACGAGACCGCATGTGGCGCACTGATTGGTTGGTTCATTGCAGCCGGCCAATCAGAGCGCCGGACGCGGTACGTAAAACAAACTCGTACAAAGGTCTATGTTTTTCATTGTTAAAAGGCTAAGTCAAAACATTTATTTCACCTGAACCTAATATAGTCTGTCAGTCTATCCGCCAGTGAAGCTAGGCGCTTGTTTCAAAATGTAGTTTCGTATGGAGAAGAACGAGCAAGAAACTTTAAGGTTACTTTGATCATGACATAAGCCGGTAAACGAGCAGACAGATCACCTGATGGTAAGCAATCGGCGTCGAGCATGGATACATGGAACACCAGAAGCGTTACAAGTGCGTTGTCGGCCTTTTGGGGATTAGGAATGTGAGGGTTGTTTGGTGATTCGGGGATGGGGGAGGGGGGTAATTTTTAATTCTTTGAATGAACCCATTATTGTTATATTTTCCAGGTTCTATATCGCTGACAGCGCTGACGGTGACTCCGGTGACGTCACAGGGCTCCGCCATGAGCCAGTCGCTGCCGTCCGCCTCTGTCAACTATGATGATGATGATACGGTATTATTTATTTTTAATAGTCACCACCTTTCGTTAAGTTCCATTAGACCAGGAAAACACTTATGAACGTCAAAACATAATACTTAAATATTAAAGAAAAAAATGTCAGTATATCGGTCAGTCCTCTAGTTGCTCTATTTGCTCATTCCAAGGCGTAGATTCCTATGGAGAAGAACGAGCAAGAGCCTCCATAGGTTACTCTTTTTCAATCAGGTTTACATTAAAATTTTTGGTTATATTTTGTTATGTTCAGAGTGTTTGGGATCGAGTTGTCGATACCTTTCACCGTAATAATATAAATGTGAAAATTTCTTTGTTTGGATGTGTGTCCGTCAACCACACTGAAACTACTGAACGGATTTTGATGAAATTTCGTATACAGGCAGGGTATGGACTGACTTAGATAATAGGATTCTTTACCCCGACTAAATGCTCCCAATGGGATGAAACAGGAATACGTGGACAAAACCGCGGGTAAAAGCTAGTGTGTAGTAATTTTTATCTATCATAAGAAAATCTTACAATAAGATTTCTGATAGTTTGCTATATTCTTATGTTGTTAAATATCAATAAAATAGTAGAAAAAGTTTTTTATTTATCATTTTCAACAAAAACGCAGATGAATCAATCAAATAGAGTTTAATTTTAATTTTAATCAGCGAGGGTTTGTTTGTGAGACACCCTTTAGTATGGTCGACCTATAGTCAGTAATACAGAGACAGTAGCTATTCTTATACTAAATTGTACGCTTTGTAACGAAGCTATATCTTTAGTAACTCAGTCGGCTCTAGATAACCAATGGCTACTGTCTCTGTACTGAATAAATCTTTCTTTTCTTACCTGCATACTAAATGACTTGACTTACGATCCATCTGTTTAGTGTCAATTATACTTACTTAACTTTATGAATATATTAATTAACATTGATATAATAATTAACACATAACATCACTCCTTTTACCCCCGAAGGGGTAGGCAGAAGTGCACATTACGGCACTTAATGCCACTGTACAATGTAGCACCCATTTTTCACTATTTTTGAGCAGTTCCATGTAATAAGGGGTTAAGCCTATTGCCATACACCGGGCACTGTTCAAGATTCTGTGCTACCACAGAGAATTATTTCAAAAAATCCAGTAATACTTTTAATACCGACCCAGGAATCGAACACGGCTACCGAGGCAGGCAGTATAATAATTAATTATGACTTATGTCCGTTCCAGCCGGCGCCCCTGCTCCCCTCGTGTCGGTTCCCCAAGCTGGAGGAGTGCGCCCACTTCCACTACGAGCGAGTGTCCCTGGGAGGGCTCAGCATTGAGACTGTCAAGTGCGAGGAGAAGTGCCAGGATTCGCTCGATGAAGGTAAGACATTGTTTTTTTAGATAACATAACATCGCGCCTTTTATCACCGAAGGGGTAGGCAGAGGTGCACATTATGCCACTGTACAATGTAACACCCACTTTTCACTATTTATGTTATGAGTCCTATGTAATAGGGGGTGAGTCTATTGCCATATACCGGGCACAATTCCAGACTCCGTGCTACAACTGAGATTTTTTTTAAAACCCAGTAATACTTTGCCCGTCAGGGGAATCGAACCCGATACCCCTTGCCCGGCAGTCGCACTTGCGACCACTCGGCCAACGAGGCAGACACTAATTTTTTCTGTTTTTTTATTTATTGACATATGGATTGTACTGTAAATCTTTGACGGCGTGATTCGCAATGCAGTTGCTGGGCGACCGGTTACTGCGCATTATGTTGAGGGATCGATTTTCAAGTTGGGTAAAAAGTGACATGATTGTTTAACCGAAAACCGAAAAGTTCAGGTACGACTCTGTTCCGGCATTTTGCCGACTTTCCACCCCGTAGTTACGCCACCGATCATACCCCACATTCCCAGAAGAGATAGGCGGAGATGCATATTTAATTATTTGTTATACATAAAATATACCTACATATAATAACAATAATTTCCCGAAGGATTGGCAAAAAATTGCAACATTGTATATACCTTGTAGTAGGCAGTGGGTAACGGAAGTATACATTTATCGAGTAGGCTGACTGGCCATGGACAGACAGACGACGGATAGCGACTTTTTAGTATACTATGTAGTGATTATAACATATCACTACGGCCGAGGATGGAGAACGAGGATTATGTATTAATGCTCGGCCTGGTAATCCTACCTCTTTGTATCAGCATTATTAACTAACCTTCCCACTTACATATTTCCAGGCTGGATCTGTTTAAAAGTCCGTTCTCACGTGAACTCGAGTGAGTCGGAGTCTCCTCGCGCGCTGAGCTCGAGCTGGACGGAGGCCAGCGCCGTCAGGCAGTGGACGCTCACCAGGAACAGGGACAATCTGCTACAACTCGATGACATGCTACATAGGTACGTAAACAAATATATATTTTATGCCATAAGCCGGTAAACGAGCAGACGGATCACCTGATGGTAAGCAATCGGCGTCGCCCATGGACCTGTGCCTTTAGCAAAACGCCACTTTAGCGCTTGTCTACAGAGAGAGTAGAAAACTAAATGTATGGGGATGACACTGAAAAGTGTCAAAATTTACATCAGTTCCAGGCTACAGTTGCTGGAACACCAGAGGCGTTACAAGTGCGTTACCGGCCTTTTGGGGATTAGGAGCTTGAGGGTCGTTAGGGATTCAGGAATTGGGGAGATTGGGGAAGGAAAGGGTAATTGGCCCTCCGGTAACCTCACTCACAAGACGAAACACAACGCAAGCGTTGCTTCACGTCGGTTTTCAGTGAGGCCGTTATATCACTCCGGTCGAGCCGGCCCATTCGTGCCGAAGCATGACTCTCCCACACTTACTTTATTTAAACATTGTATTTTTCCCAGATGTATATATGACCGCAAAGTATCAGGGCTACCGAACCTCCGTGAGAAGATATCGTCGTCCCTCACTCAGTCGGAAGGAGAGTACCAGAGGCTCATAGCAGACTATGTGCACCATCTGTCCATTATAGCGGACGACTCCATCAACTGCGGGCCCGTGTTGAACTGGCTGCAGATGGACAATAAAGGTAATTTTGTATTATTTTACCATCCAAAACATCATGTACACAAAAAGAATCCTGGAGTCTATTTTTATAAACCCAATTTCGATTTTTATTAGAATCTGAAATAATTTTACATGCAACATATAACTCGAAAAAGTTGACGTCACAAAAGTGAAGTCACTCTAAACGCTGATGGTGTTTTTAAAATGCGTTTCGTTTTACGTAACTTTAATTCATGACATGACGGTTAGTGCGGTGGCTGGGCAACCGGCTGCCATGCAACGTGTAGCGGGTTCGATTCCCGCACGGAACAACTCTTTGTGTGAGCCACAGATTGTAGTTCCGTTTCTGTGTGTGATGTGTATGTGAACTTGTATGTTTGTAAACGGACCCACAACACAGGAGACAATCCTAGTGTGGGGCAATGTTTTAAAAAAAAATCTTAATTATTCTTAAAAATCAACGTAATATAAAATAAAAACGTTGATGTAGCCTTTCTTTTACATTTTTTTACCATTTTAATCATACAATTTTCATAAATATCATATTTGCATCTTCCCTATTGAAATTTAATGTTCACTGATACCTGCACTAATTGTTGTTTTTATAGTCTTCCATATTCTATAAATAAATAAATGAGAAGTGAAAATCTTTTACCAGTGGAATTCTTTGTCAGAGTCTGTATTTCCTAAAGGGTATACCCACCCAGGTTCCTTATGGGACGACGTGCTCCATCGTAGACCGCATCATCGCTTACCACCAGGCGGGATAGTGGTCAAACGTCAAAAGCCGGGGCAAATCGCTAGTTCTTTTATAAATATAGATCTATATTTTTTTGTAATGTTGGTTAAAAATTTTTTTCCTCAGGCCATAAGCTACTGGTAGCGAACGAAGACTCATCCTCCATCAACACGCCGGCCGTCGCCGCCGCATACTCCGTCAGGAAATACGTGTCGCAGGTACAGACATGTTCTAAATTACTACCGATTTACCGATCATCAACAAAGCTACGGTTCACATGATTGTAAGCGGAAAAAAGGCAACATTCTATAATTCTGCGCTCTTCGATTCCCGGGTCGGGCAAAGTATTATTGAGTTTTTAATAAAATCTCAATAGTAGCACGGTGCCTGGTATTGTACCCGGTGTATGGCAATAGGCTCACCCCCTATTACATGGGACTCATAACATAAATAGTAAAAAGGGGGTGTTACATTGTGCAGTGGCAGTAAGTGCCGTAGGTAATGTGCACCTCTGCCTACCCCTTCGGGGATAAAAGGCGTGATGTTATGGCACATATCGCAGAAAAAATCGTGTAGGTGTGTTATTTACATACATACATAACTTCACGCCTGTCTCCCATGGGGGTAGGCAGAGACTAAGGAACGCCAATTACTACGATTCTTACATACCTCTTTCGCTTCATTAACAGTGTGTTATTTATTATACTGATATTAGTAATACAGTCCTGCAAAGGCCATTGTTGCTAATTTTTTAATATCTTTGTATTTTAATTATTATGTTTTTCGGTTTTTTCGTGTAATTATTTGACGAGGAACTCGACTAGTTTCAAGCCATGCTGGAGGCTCATATTCTAAGAGTAGCATTCCGCGACCCACTAGCATGATATATGATATGAGCCTCTAGCATGGTTTGAAACTAGTCGAGTTCCTCGTCAAATAATTACGTGAATTTTGAATTTAGTATGTGTCGCGAAAGTTATAATAACATAAACTCTGTATTTTGTATGTTGCAGGCGCGGGATGAAATTAGTTTCGAAGTGGGTGATATGATCTCAATCATAGACATGCCTGGTAAGTTTTACCTTAGTAATACATGGCTAATAGCATAATTCAATGTAATAAAAATTCATAACAAACATAATTCGATTTTGTAGCTCGATATACCGTTTCAAATTAGTGTACAATAAAGATTATTCTATTCTATAGTTTTGACGATATTTCGTATTAATATTAGTTATTAATTTATTAGAATATTAATTTTGCCGAGCTAGAAAGTACCTAGTTGGCATTACGCTATCCCTGACCCCTTACTTAAGGGGCAATCCTTTTCTCCTACCCCTCGTTACTTATACATATAGAGGAACGATCCCCCTATTCCCCTTGCTATACTTTTGTCCCGTTTATTGGGGAGCCATTCTGCGTAGGCTTCTTTCCTTTCTGCTCTGTGTTGGCGTCCCTCTCCCCCTCCCCCTAGCTACATCCATACTGATGGCGCCAAGCTGTGCCAGGTCCGGCGGAGTCGCTGTGGTAGCGCGGCACTCCGTCCCCCCTCCCCCTCCCCCTAGCTACATCCATACTGATGGCGCCAAGCTGTGCCAGGTCCGGCGGAGTCGCTGTGGTAGCGCGGCACTCCGTCCCCCCTCCCCCTCCCTCTAGCTACATCCATACTGATGGCGCCAAGCTGTGTCAGGTCCGGCGGAGTCGCTGTGGTAGCGCGGCACTCCGTCCCCTCTCCCCCTCCCCCTAGCTACATCCATACTGATGGCTCCAAGCTGTGCCAGGTCCGGCGGAGTCGCTGTGGTGGCGCGGCACTCCGTCCCCCTCCCCCTCCCCCCTAGCTACATCCATACTGATGGCTCCAAGCTGTGTCAGGTCCGGCGGAGACGCTGTGGTAGCGCGGCACTCCGTCCCCCCTCCCCCTCCCCCTAGCTACATCCATACTGATGGCTCCAAGCTGTGCCAGGTCCGGCGGAGTCGCTGTGGTGGCGCGGCACTCCGTCCCCCCCCCCCCCCCCTAGCTACATCCATACTGATGGCTCCAAGCTGTGTCAGGTCCGGCGGAGACGCTGTGGTAGCGCGGCACTCCGTCCCCCCTCCCCCTCCCCCTAGCTACATCCATACTGATGGCTCCAAGCTGTGCCAGGTCCGGCGGAGTCGCTGTGGTGGCGCGGCAAGCGCGGGTTCCGAGTGGGGTTCTTCCCTCACCACTGCGTCGCTGTCATCGGGGACAAGGTGCCGCGGCATATGACGCAGCCACCGCCTATTGTTGGGTAAGTAGAAGGAGTAGTTATAGTAGACAAACCTTTTTTGTGTCTCTTATCCTCATACGCACTAGCGGTTAACCGAGCGGTTAGCCGCTTTTCCAATTCATAATAATGCAACCGCGAAACTACCGTTATGCTAACTACATCAGTCGGTACGAACCGCCTACGCAGTATATACGGGTGCATAATCCGAACGAAAATCAATTTTTTATCGTAAGAAAATCCACCTCGATATGCTCACATTACTTTACTACAGAGCTTTAATAAAACTCGAGCGAATGAGCGCGAATACGCGCGTAACACTGATTCCGATTTGGATTTTCGCTTCGATGCGCTTCGAAAGTTTTCAATGTGAATGGATTAGTTTTATTTGTAATTTAATGAATTTGATTGACCTTATTGTCATTGCTTTTAAACACAGTTTGGATCACCTTTTTCTTTATTTTTTGATGTCGGGGTAACCTTCGGAAGGCGTCTAGCTTTTTGAGGAGAAAGGCTAGGGAGTGTGGGATTCTTACCTCACTAAAACCACCCCGGTGGCCACCCTCAGCTCCTGTAAGGGGCACTGGATCCTCTGAAGAGACCTGGGTGCTTACTCTTGTAACAAATGTCAATGCAATTTCAATACAATAAAATTTCAATAATTATTTAATGTCTACACTATCAACCCCTATCGTGGCTGTTAAAACAGCATTCAGAGTACGGAATATAAAGCCAAACTCAATACCGTTTAGTTCATTCAATATCCACGCAATTCGGAAGCGAATTGCGCTAATTTTGCAACCCAAGAGTACGAAATTTCACAATACCAATGTCGATCGATCGGACTTGGATTCAAGAGTAAGCCCCCTGGTACGGAAGTTTGATTCACCTATTTTCGCGTCACAACATTCCCGTAAGTAAATCGTTATTTTCAATTAAGTAATTTTATAACCTTTGCCCTCTACAGCTCAGTAGCGGTAGCACCTATAAAGCCAGTGCTTCGCAAACATGGGAAGTTGATCTCCCTGTTCCGAAGCTTCATACTATCGCGGCCGTCGCGCAGGAGTCTCAAACAGCAGGGTATACTAAGGGAGCGAGTCTTCGGATGCGATCTGGGGGAGCATCTGCTTAATTGCGGACATGATGGTGAGGGGTTTTTGAAGATTTTTTTATATAATGAAATCGAGGCTATGCTCAGAGTCTCTCTGAAGGATAGGATCCGTAACGGGTTGATTTTTTTATGGATAAGGGGGAGGGGGTAGGTGTAATTGGGCCTTTAGTTTTGAACTTCTAAAAGTTGTTTGTGCTCTCTAAGTTTATTGATACTTCTGACATTCGGTGCAGAAAAACACCGTGAAGAAATTATGGGCTCATAATGTCTAATTATAAGTTTGAAGTTGCCAGCCCGCAATAGCCGGCGTGGTGATTAATGCTCAAACCATCTCCATGTGATAAGAGATCTGTACTCAGAAGCAATTAGTTACTGGTATATGATTATAATTTATTTGTTGAAATTTTTCCAGTACCTCAAGTCCTAGTAGAATGCGCCCGAGCAATAGAAGCCCGCGGCGCAGTGGACGGAGTGTACCGCCTGTCAGGGGGCGCGGGCCTGACGCAGCGTCTCCGCGCGGCCTTCGACGCGGGCTCCCCGCCTGATCTCAGCGCGCCACCTACTACTAGGGACCCACATGCAGTGCCTTCGCTGTTGAAGATGTATTTTCGGTGAGTTTTTGGTATTTTACTGTATAGTACTGGGTTTTTAAACAATTCTCAGTAGTAGCACGGAGTCTGGAAATGTGCCCGGTATATGGCAATAGGCTCACCCCCTATTACATGGGACTCATAACATAAATAGTGAAAAGTGGGTGTTACATTGTACAGTGGCATAATGTACACCTCTGTCTACCTCTTCGGGGATAAAAGGCGTGATGTTATGTTATTGTAAACTAATTAGGTAGCACTATATTTAAGTACAACTTAAAAGCATAGCATTTCATTTGTTAGCATAACATTTGTTTTGTTAGTTTTTTATTTTAGTAAGTTTTGTAATTTGTATATTGCTACTCAACTACAGATTCTTTGTATAATGACAGAGACGGCACGATATTTAGGTACAAATTAAAATTTAGTATCCTCTTAGAATTTTGGCGTGAGCACTTTGAATATTGAACTGGGGAGGCCTTAACGGGTTACTGGGGCTCCGGCTCTATGCAGAAGTAGGAACGGGGTGGTTTTAGTAAGAGTCTGACACTCCCTCCCGCCTCACCCAGGCGGGTCGAAGGAATATTATAAGTTTCCTCTCTCAAAAAATAAAACCAGTTTGAATATACTAACTGACTCGGCTAAATTCGTTCTACTTAAAAAATCATTTGACTGAATTGGACTTCCACGAACATTTCAAAACCAGAATTAGCCAAAGCGGTTTAGCCGTTCGCCAGTCTTAGCGATACTATCGAACGGAAATACATGCTTATTAATATATATTTCTAATTTTTCCTCGTTTCCTTTACAGTGAGCTCCCAAACCCGCTCTGCACGTACCAGCTGTACGAGAGCTTCGTCAGCGCCGTGCAGGCCGGGGACGAGGCGGCCCGGCTCCGGGCCGTCAGGGACACCGTCGTCAAACTGCCGCCGCCGCATTATAGGTACTGGAAATGTGAACCACTTATATTCTACAAGTCATTTAACTGCCTCATTGACCGAGTGGTCGCAAATGCGACTGCCGGGCAAGGGATCTCGGGTTGGATTCCCGGGTCGGGCAAAGTATTACTGGGTTTTTACAAAATTCTCAGTAGTAGCACGGAGTCTGGAATTGTGCCCGGTATATGGCAATAGGCTCACCCCCTATTACATGGGACTCATAACATAAATCGTGAAAAGTGGGTGTTACATTGTACAGTGGCGTAATGTGCACCTCTGCCTACCCCTTCGAGGATAAAAGGCGTCATGTTATGTTATGTTATGTAATTTAGCCCAATTTGACTAAGAATGTGATGTGGTGTCGACAGTAAAATACATTACTAGCCACTTCTACTCTTTCCGTGGGTGTGACAAACACTATAGGTGTTTTCTACTCTGGAGGGTTTGCCATAATTTCGGGTAATCGCGTTTGAGATCGCAGTATAAGAGGTTCAGGTGTATCAGAGAGCGCTGCTGACCGGTCTCTATCTAATGTGTAGTCCCTTAGTCGGGTATACGACACCTACGAAGATCAGCGGTGGTGACAAAATATGTTCTACTCTGCTGTCCTCGCCAATTTTAAATAAAATCTTAAACCACTATAGTTTTTATATACTTTTTTAGTAACTAAAACTTTATTGTTCTCGTTAATTTTTGTATTTATAGTTTTTATTATCACTTAAGTAATTATAATAATAATAAAGGAATTTATTTCTCTCAAAAAGGTACATACATAGAAACATTATATCACTATTTAAGTTACAATAGGTTCAACCTTTGTGAGAGCTGGAGTCTATACTGGGTTCAAGACCTGTATGACAGATCTCCAGGTTCACACCCGATGTCACAATAATATAGTAGGTAATTGTAATGCAATAGAATACAAGCAATAAAAAGAAACAAATTCCGTGGTCTGAGGGTAGACCAACACCAAACCAGAGTGGATTATATGAGAATGGATGATGAGAATGTGTTTGTCAATTGTGAAAATGAATGTACAGTGTGTGAGTGTTCATGTCTTTAGTGTGAGTGTATCTGAAGTTGTGTGTTTGTGTATGTAAGTTGGTGTGCTGTGAAGAATATGTAGACATTACCGAAAGCCGACAACGACGAAGTACCCAACAATGTACCTATGCGAGATTTAAGATAAAACGTGCAGTAATTCTTCAGTGCTATCATAGTCCATGTCAAGAAGCCAGTTCCTGACCGTTTTTTTACATTTAGATTTACACAGAGGATATATGTTAAGTATATTGTTTGCCTTGTTGTATATGTAGCCGCTAAGAAAAGGGAAACTGCGTTGTGCTGATCGACAATTAGTCGAAAAAGGAGGACAAACACTATGCTTACGCCGTTTACCGTCAAACATGGTCGGATCGTAACTAATTTGGGAGTGAGTAGTCAAAAGAATATTCGAAATGAACAATTTTCGTATAGAGAGAACATTACAAATTTTATAAAGATCTGTGGTTGGAAAACGGAAAGGTAGCTTCCAGCCCACTTTCAGGAGTGCACGTTGTGCACGTTCTAGTTTTAAAAGATGTGTTTTAGCAGATCCGCCCCAGGCAATTATGCAGTATTCCATAATTGATTGACCAAGAGCCAAATACACAAGCCGCATAGTATTAGTATCGGCAGCATGACGGAGAGACTTGAATACATAAATTAGCCTCCGGACTCGAGAGGTAAGCGCGTCTATGTGAGCACGAAAAGACAGGCAATCGTCAATAAGTACACCCAGATATCTAATGCAGTCGACACGAGAGATACGGGGACAGTTACAGATTGACCTGTGATGTAATTTGCAAGAGTGTGCTATTAATGGAAGGGAGGGTAAACGGGACTTGCCGGCCTCTGAAAGGGAAAAGGTAAGATATTTCGTTTTATCTGAATTTAAAGTGAGCAGGTTGTGGGTCAACCAATTGGTGACAAGGTCGAAACCACCCTGTGCATGCAGATAAACCGACTCCCACGAGTCACCATGAAATAGCAGGGCAGTATCATCAGCATATGAAAAAAATGGATGCATTAGGTATTTCAGAAGACACAAGTCGTTTATATAAATAAGAAATAGGGTAGGACCTAGGATACTGCCCTGGGGGGCCCGTATGTAATGGGAAGGTCGATGCTAGACCATTCAGCAATTTTAACGCGTTGGCGTCTACCAGTAAGGTAACTCTCGAATAGCGCAAGCTGGATACCTCTGATTCCTATACGCTCAAGTTTAATTAAAAGAGTGGGGACAGATATCGTATCAAACGCCTTAGCTAGGTCCAGGAAGATACCTATGACCTTCTGATGCCTGTCCAAGTTAGAGATGATGTAGTTGGTGAGGTTTAGCACTGCGTGGCCTGTAGAGAGTCCGGAACGAAAACCATACTGAGAGCAGGAGAGGATGCTGTTTATTTCAAGAAACTTGACCAGCCTACTGTTCACAAGCCTCTCAAGTAACTTAGATAGGGTTGGTAAGATTGAGATGGGTCTATAATTGTTAAGACGATACCTGTCGCCGCCCTTGTGTATAGGAAGTACTACTGCTAATTTGAATGCATCTGGAAATATCCCGGATGTAAAGGCAAGGTTAAATATATTGACAGAAGGGGAGTAAGATAGCTCTTGTATTTTTTGATAAAATTGCCAGATATGTCATCGCAACCCGCGGCACAATCACCTCTCAGATTCTCAATCAAATTATTCAACTCAATATCATCGGTTTCTAATAGGACGAATGAATTAGGAAAGGAGGTATCGTTGACAGTTGAAGGGCGAGGTAAAGCATGAGATGTAGAAATGTTTTCCGCTAATGTACGACCTATATTTGCAAAGTAGCCATTAACTTCATTAACAGAGTGTGTTGGATTTGTAGCAGATACAAGAGCATCGGCAGAAGATTTTAGTTTGGATGTGTTTGTGATGGATTTAATAGCTTCCACAGCGTTTTAGTGTTTTTTTGTGCGTTATCTATTTGGTTTTTATCGTAGGCATTTTTGGCAGCTTTAATCATGTTTGAGCAAAAATTTCTATACCTCTTGAAAGTAATTTTTAGAACATCATTCAGAGGTTCTTTTTTTAATTTTAAATGTAAATTGTCACGATTACGCAGACATTTAAGGAGCCCTGCGGTCATCCAAGGCTTGCGCAATCTTTTACGATTCGGTACTACCTTTAGGAAAGAGTTTTGTGCAATAATACAGCTGAGGGTGTTGATGAAGTAGTTTGTAGCATCATTAACTTGTGAGGAGCTATAAACTGGGCTGAAATCAGCCTGAGATATGTCTGAAGTTATCTTGTCATAGTTAAAAACACGTGTAAACTTCCATTTTCTTCGAGAATAATTACAAAAATTGTTATTCTCGAGAAAAAACAACACAGTGTCATGATCAGTTACCGAAGTATTTGCTATGTAACAGTAAGCAGGTTTTCTCGTTTTCAGCATAAGGTGATCAAGACATGAGGTACCTTGTCGCGTAGGGAGAGTGTGTGCCGGTAACATACCATGAAAAGCAAACATAGTCAGGTATTCATTAGCCCAAGAGTCATTGTTGTTATCCGAAATGTCAATATTAATATCCCCGGTCATTATTATGTTATTATAGGAGGATACGGATTTCAGTACCTCATTCATAGAATCCAAAAAGGCAGAAGCATTCCGAGTGGCTGGCGACCGATATACTGCAATGATAACGACATCACTGTTAATTGTCAATAATAGACAATTTGCATCTTGAACTGTGCAACTATTGACTGACAATTTGCAACTTGAATTAAATGTTGGTTAACCTATAATTGGCGACTGTATAAGCCTAAATACTTAATGTTACTTTCATATCACTTAATGCTATGTATACAGAATCTGTCGGTATACCTATTTAAATAAATAAATATACTTTATATATACGTTCATTTATCACCCTCGTTTTTTTCAATACATGCAAACTTCTTTTAAAACCTACTGTAACACTTCTCTGCATCATCCTATGGTGGGCTGGTAGGGAATGCCATCCGGCATTAAGCCCGCCATTGTATATACATTTGTACATAAAGTGTTAAAATAAATGAATAAAATAAAAGTATGTTTTGAAACTGATTGATAATGTGGATGATAAAAATTACACTTGCATTTCCGTCCCCCACAGGACGTTGGCGTACCTAATGCGTCACCTACGGCGAGTGTCCCTGCTAGGGGAGCAGACGGGTATGACGGCGCGCAACATGGCCATCGTGTGGGCCCCCAACTTGCTGCGCGCCCCGCGCCCGCAGCACGCGCTGCAGGGAGTCGCTGTACAGGTATATGCTCACTACTTTTATATATTTGATGGGCCAACATTTGTCCACTATCTCGCCTGGACCTTTAGCCAAACGCCACTTTAGCGCTTGTCTACAGAGAGAGTAGAAATCAAAATGTATGGGGATGACACTGACAAGTGTCAAAATTTACGTCAATTCCATATAATTTGGTTTTCTATTCTACATGTAGATAAGCAATTTATTTTAACACTAGATGGTATCCGTCTGTCTCTATGTATGCTTAGATCTTTAAAACTACGCAACGGATTTTGATGCGGTTTTTTGCAATAGATAGAGTGATTCTTAAGAAAGGTTTATATCTTATACTATTATATAAAGCGGAAGAGTTTGTTTGTTTGAACGAGTTAATCTCCGAAACTACAAGTCTGATTTGAATAATTATGCGTGAAGCGTTATGTTGACTACGACCAATAGGAGCTGAGCAGAGCATGTGAAACCGCGCGGAAGTAGCTAGTGTATAATACATGCATATTGCACCCGTGTGAAGCCGGGGCAGGACGCTAGTTATAATATGATACTACGCTGACTTAACAGAATGCCTTTACTCATACAATAATAAATACAAATGCCGTGGTGGCCCGGAGGTTTAAGCCCGCTTCCCATGCATGAGGGTACAGGTTCGAAACCTACCAACAGCAAGCACCAATGTGACTTTTTCCGAGTTATATGTACTTTCTAAGATTATTTAGACACCACTGACAAACGGTGAAGGAAAACATCGTGAGGAAACCTGGGCTTTTAGTTTGTAATCGCCAACCCGCATTGAGCAAGCGTGGTAATTAATGTTAAGCATTGTAAGATTGTATTTTTAAGTAATCTTTGTAAGAGTGTACTTCCTAAGATTATTTAGACGACACTGACAATCGGCGAAAGAAAAAATCTTGAGGAAACCTGGGTTCTAATTATAAGTTTGACATTGCCAACCCGCAGTGAACAACCGTGGTGATTAATCTCCGTGTGAGAAGAGGCTTTGCTCAGCAGTGGGCATTTATAGGCCGTTGATGATAATGAATAAGTACATACACATGTATATGTATTGAACTTCTTTTTAAACCCTAATTTGTTTGTATTTCAGGCGGTAGTCACAGAATTCCTGATCTGCTATGCCGAGGAGTTGTTTGCACAGGAGCAGGGAGAGGATTCTGGACCTGAGTCTTTGGAACAGGTGTGTATCTTGACGATTTTTTTAAATCTCAACACTTTCGATTTGACAAAACGCTCAGTAGGATTTTAACTTTTCACTATCATAATTTTAAAATTGACTTTGAAATAGCAAATGGCATTTGTAAATATTACTTTTCATCATAACATTGACATCAGTTAACGCAGGAAAGTTACCGTATTATTTTATATTTATTAATTTTTCGTATGGTATATTTATGCCATAAAAAAAAGGTAAATGGAGCAAAATTACGGTTTTTCGAAAGCAGTATATGGCAATAGCCTATTACATAGGACTCATAACGTAAATAGTGAAAAGTGGGTGTAACATTGTAAATGTGCACCTCTGTCTAACCTTATTGGATATTAAATCCGGGATCGTGCGGTCCATGGCCCTCTACGGCGCCCTCGGACGCTGCTCATGGCACAGAGGGTCATGGCGATCCGAATGATCCGCGGATACCGCACGATCTCCGGGGAGTCGGCGAACCTCCTTGCCGGATCACCGCCGTGGGACCTGGAGGCGAAGGTGCTCGCGCGCGTGTATCGCAATATAAAAAAAATTGGATATTATATTGAATTAATATTTTTACTGTTTATTAATTTCCAGGATCGTTGTGAGTCTGAAATAGAGCTCCGCGGCAATGACTCGTGTCGCCGTCCTAAGAGCTTGCCGATCAACCCGCCCACTAAGTTACTGAGGTAAGTTACTGTTTCATTTTATTTCCTCATCCGTCATACCCGATCCGTAAATTTCTAACCGTCTTCTCGTTTACCGGCTTATCCCATAAAAAGTATTCAAACGAGCAGACGGATCTCCTGATGGTAAGCAATCGGCATCGTCCACGTATAGGTACTTGGAACAATAGAGGCGTTACAAGTGCGTTACCGGCCGGAATTAGGAATATGAGGATCGTTGGAGCAACCTCATTCCCACGCCTGCACGTTTGGATTCATTCAACCGACGTGCAGTACGGCGGTATCAGTCCGGTCGAACCGACATGATACTGCAGTACCGAAGATGGCCACATTTCTTAACTTTTTTATGGTATACTGTAAGAAAGATTGTTAATTTTTTAGCATAATAACAAGTGAAGTTTTCGTTTTTCAATGAATTTGAGTAGTATTATTTTGTAAAATGAAACCTAACTGACTATTACTTTAGTTTTATTTTTAATTAATCATACACCTGCAAGGAAGTAATGTGTACATGGTGACAGCATATAACTGATTAAAAAGGAATGCCACAACCTATGTTTTTCCTAAATCACCACGGATGGGTTCTAATAGGGCTGATGCCGATACGGAACCGCGAAGAACGGTAACGGATTACCGGGGCTTCGGCTCGAAGTGCAGGAGTAGGAACGGGGTGGTTTTTAGTCAGTAAGAGTCTGACACTCCCTCTCGCCTCACCCAGGCGGGAGAGCAGACATTCGATGACTATCCCTCTTTAAAAAAAAACCAATATTCTTGTATGTAAATTTGAGTCATATACTTCCCCAGCTTGGAGGAAGCCCGTCGCCGCGGGCAGGCGGGCGGCGCGGGCAGCCCGCGCAGCCCGCGCCTGCCCGCGTCGGGCGCCATCGCCGCCGCCGCAGACACCCAGCTGCGGCCGTCCTCGCATCTACGGCCCAACTACATCGAGGTACTACACGCTGATACACTGCCACATTCTATAATAACTCATAGTACCTATGCTTTCATATCTTCTTTTTCACCCTTTTATTGAGAACTAGCGACCCGCCCCGGCTTCGCACGGGTGCAATATGCATGTATTATACATATAAACCTTCCTTAAGAATCACTTTATCTATTAAAAAAACCGCATCAAAATTCGTTGCGTAGTTTTAAAAATCTAAGCATACATAGCGACAGACAGACGGCGGATAGCGACTTTGTTTTATACTATGTAGTGATAAGTCATAATACGTACATGTTTATACACACACTGACTCACTCTCACTCAAAAATGATGTGCCTTCCACACTTCTCACTCATTGCCAGTTTTTTTTTATAGTATAAACCGGTAAACGTTCAGACGGATCACCTGATGGTAAGCAATCGACGCCGCCCATGGGAACCCGCAACACTAAAAGCGTAACAAGATAATTAGGAAATTGAGGATTGATAGGGATTCAGAGATTGGAGAGAGTGGGGAAGGGCCTCCAGTAATGTGACTCCCACGACGAAACACAACGCTGTGGATATGTCAGTATGGTATCAGTCCAGTCGAGCTCGGCAGTACCGAGCCTACACTTGAAAGTTAACTCTTTAACTTATAAATTCATTCGCGCACTCAAACCTCGTTTTCATATTCATTCATGTTATCGATGTTCATATTAATTACTGACTCATAATCACTTTAACCCTCGTAAATAATCACTCATTCTCACTCACATCAGCGGGTGAATGTGAGTGAGAATGAGTGTCATACATTCACTAGCTGAGTGTTAATTTACGAGTGTCAAAAATAAGTACTTGATTAAGAAAATAACGAGTACATTGTTATGTAATTAATTAGTTTATAGTAATTAGATAATTAATGTACTAATGCAAGAAATACTGTAAATATTATGTCGTTTAATTCCAGGTGGGGTCGGGACCAAACAACTTACCTCAGTATCACACCGTGCTAGAGCTACCAGCGCCCGGTGAGCTATATTTTACCTCTACAATCTAATACACATTATTGATTACATAAGCAGTAGTGTCGTGGTGGCCCGAAGATTTAAGAAGCCCGCTTCTCATGCATGAGAGTGCGGGCTCGAAACCTACCAACGGCAAGTACCAATGTGACTTTTCCGAGTTATATGTACTTTCTAAGATTATTTAGACACCACTGACAAACGGTGAAGGAAAACATTGTAAGGAAACCTGGGCTTATAATTTCTGATTGAGGAAGGGTAATTGGACCCCCCAGTACCCTCACTCTCACGATTGTATACAACGCTGTGGTTGTGTCATTATGGTTTATTGCTCAGCTGTGGTATAACTCTGGTTTGTCGGCTTTTCATCAACAGCTTATAAACGCCCACTGCTGAGCAAAGCCTCTTCTCACACGGAGAAGGTTTGAGCATTAATCACCACGCTTACTCAATGCGGGTTGGCGATTTGAAACTTATAATTAGAAAATATAAGCCCAGGTTTCCTCACGATGTTTTTCTTCACCGTTAGTCAGTAGTGTCTAAATAATTTTAGAAAGTACATATAACTCGGAAAAGTCACATTGGTACTTGCCGTTGGTAGGTTTCGAAGCCATACACTCGTCCATGATAAGCAGGCGTCTTCAACCTCCGGGTCACCATGACGTTTGTCGGCTTATTCGTGCTGAATCATGGCTCTCCCACAATCAGATGTTTAACTGATTGAACTGAATTGTTGTATACATGTTGAGTTTGCATGACCATAAATGTTAAATTGCTTCAAAGCTTGTGTTTAAAAAGTCTTTAATTTAAGTTTTATTGTGATTAATAAATTAACGAAGTGGATTTTTGAAGAGAAGAAGATAAAAAAGGTCTTTTATTTCGTAACGGATGAATATCATAAAAACGTTAATTTATTTATTTATCCAATTCTTCTTGTTTTCAATTCGTTTTATTAGTAATTATTATGTTTTCGGCTTACTCACGTAATAATTGGGCTGGTCATGAACATGATGCTCTAGTCTCTAGTATAACTTGAAACTAGTAAATTTCCTCGTCAAATAAACACGTGAGTAAGCCGTAACACATAATAATGAATGTAGTATGTCTAGCTGGTGTAATAATATAATAATGTTATGTATGTATTCCAATGTACCGCAGGCAAGCGCGGCCTGAAGCGGTCCCCGACGGGGTGGCGCGGCCTGTTCGCGCGCCACAAGACGCGCGCCCGCCACCTGCCGCGCGCGCCGCCCGCGCCCGCGCCCGCACTGGTACATATACTCACCACTACCTGGGACTGCAGCTCAGCTTTGCTCAGCGTATTTTTTACCAACTAAGAAAGACATACATATAAAATATAACAAAATATAAAATACAACTATTTAAAGAAACATTTACACTGCCTCGTTGGTCGACTGGTCGCATGTGCGACTACCGGACCAAAAGGTCTCGGGTTCGATTCCCGAGTCGGACAAAGTATTAATAGCTTTTTTTATTTTACCAATAACACGGAGTCTGAAATTGTGCCCGGTACAAAACAATAGACTCACCCCCTATTACATAAATAATGAAAAGTGAGTGTTACATTGTACTGTGACAATTAGTACCGTGATGTACCCCACCTCTACCTACCCCTTCGGGAATAAAAGGTGTTATGTTATGTGTGTCTATATATTTCAAAAACTTTACAAATTTTACTTAATAGTTACTTCTACACGAGCAAAGCTGCGCATAACAACCAGTTGATATATACGCTTTAACTAATACACAATTAAAAAATATTTAAAATGTAACTTGTATTATATCCCCAGGACGTACCGATGACCTCGCAGCCCCCGCTAGGGCTCCGCCCCGTGAAGTCTTGTGAGTCCCTCGCCTCGGACACTGACACTCTCGCTCCATTAGCTGAGCGAGCCGCCGCGCCGCTTAAACATCATACCAGGTAATAATAATATTATTTTACTTTAACTGGGTACTTTCCTTAATCCAAATTAAATTACTTCGACTGTTCAATACAATAAAATATAAAAACGTAATCACACTTTCATTAATTGATTTTATGACCAACTCCATTTTAATTTATTTCTAGCAAAATATTAAGAAATAAGTATGTTGTTTGACGCTATAAAACGTGACGTCACAATACACAATCTCGTACAAAATTCTCATAGAAAACTGTCGTTTTTGACAGTTCGAAAAAAGTATTGAATTTGACTAGTTGGCTATTACACAATTCGGGTAAATTACACTAAAAACTAGTTCGAAACTAACCAACGGCAAATACCTATATGACTTGTCCCGAGTTCAGTTCCAGTTTTGACTGACTGCACGGTTGGTGCGGTGGCTGGGCAACCGGCTGCCGTGCAACGTGTCGCGGGTTCGATTCCCGCACGGAACAACACTTTGTGTGATCCACAAAGTGTTGTTCCGTGTCTGTGTGTGATGTGTATGTGAACTTGTATGGTTGTAAACGCACCCACGACACAGGAGGAAATCCTAATGTGAGGCAACGTTTAAAAAAAAAAGTTTGTCAATCACCACCCCTTTTATAATAATCCCCAGATCATCATCCTGCGACTCTTACTTCGAGCCGTGGCAGGCCGAGCTAGCAGACATGCGACTACGTTTGTCGCCACAGGAGAGAGATCACCACATGTTTAGTGAAGAGGATGATACACAGTTACAGATCAATCATGCACAGGTAAACTAATTAAGTGGTGTGGTGATTAGAAGTGGAGTGGTGATTGGAATTACATTATATCATTAGAGTGTCAGACTCTTACTGACTAAAAACCACCCCGTTCCTTCTCCTGCACGTCGAGCCGGAGCTCCGGTTACCCGTTAGGTTCTCCGCGACTCCGAATCGGCATCGGCCCTATTGGGCCCCATCTGTGGTGGTCTGATGGCTCTTTGAGGTGCGCGCGGAACGCTCGGCGCCGTCCGCTGGGGACTGTTTCTGGTCGGACGACGAGCCACCCATGCTGTATGTCCTCCGGCCCGCTGACGGTGGCCGGAGATCGTCCCGCGATCCCCGACGCCCGGTGTGTCCTTCGCGATGGCTGGGTTGCGAGGACGCGTCCCGCCTCCTCCTTAGCTAGCATGACTGCTTCGCAAAAGGAGGAGACGGCATCCCAGTCCCCCTCGCTCCGCATCATGGCCTGCACTAGGCCCGGACGCGAGAGGTCTTACTAAGATTTTTCTTTGTAAGATTGTATTTTTTTAAGTAATCTTTGTAAGATTGTACTTCCTAAGATTATTTAGATGACACTGACAAACGGTGAAGGAAAAACATCGTGAGGAAACCTGGACTTATAATTTCTAATTATAAGTTTGAAATCGCCAACCCGCATTGGGCAAGCGTGGTGGTGATTAATGCTCAAACATTTTCCGTGTGAGAAGAGGCTTTGCTCAGCAGTGGGCATTTAGGCTGTTGATGTGATTATTGAAGAAATAGTGATCATAAACACAGTGATAGTATGTTACATTATAATAGTGATTATATTAAAAACAGTTAAATACGAATAACTAGCAGCCTGTTCCGGCTTAGCACGGGGTAGACAATTATTTATTTTTCTACACCTTCGGTTATATTGTTAAATTTTTACCAAGGATCCCTAATTTTTTTCAAAATGAAATGTAGCATATGTCAAATTGGAAGAATGTGGCATTCTATTGGTGAAAGAATTTTTGACGTGACAACGTCTTATAAATTGGTTTGCCGGGTGACACTTCAAGAAACTGCGTTCCGCTCCGCTCACGTTATGCGCTCTAATGAGAGCGAGTGAGAGGCACGCGTCCCTTCCACTCGGGCATGGTTAGCCCGCCTAAGAGCGAGAGAGACAGACATAATATTTTACCACTCAAAGTCGTTGTCACGTAAAACTTTCGCCCGTATACCGACTTTACAGGCAACCAATTTTTTAAATCGCCCCAGTACTTTTTGAGTTACCAGTTTTTTTTGTACCTATTTTTGTAAAAAGTATTTTACAAAAATAGGTACAAATCTTTCCTCTTTATAATATTAGTGTAGATTAATAATTAATATTTATATTTCAGGACTCGTTATGCTCGACGCCTCCAGAGTCCGGTCTATGCAGCGCAGAGAACAGTCCGCGACGGAACCTTAGGGTCGATATACATCAAGCTAATGAACTCGCTGAGCGGTAAGCACATATATACATACATACAAATAAATATTATACCTACTAACGATTCACTAAATCACTCCCTATTACATGAGACTCATAATATAAATAGTGAAAAGTGGGTGTTACATTATACAGTGGAATTAAGTGGCGTAATGTGCACCTCTGCCTACTTCTTCGGCGATTAAGGCGTGATGATATGTTATGTTATGAAATATGTGCGCCTCTACCTAGCCCTTTAGAGATTACAATACTGACACGGCCGCTGCGATGGCTATCTGGGTAGCGGGTTCGATTCTCGCACGGAGCAATTGTTTGTGTGATCCACAGATTGTAGTTCCGTGTCTGTGTGTACGTGTATGTGAACTTGTATGTTTGTAAACGTACACACGACACAGGAGGAAAATACTAGCGTGGGGCAACGATTTTATAAAACACAGAAACAAAGAAAAAAGACATGACGTCATTATTATTATTTTTTTTAACTTTGCTCCCACACTAAGATTTTCTCCTGTGTCGTGTGTGCGTTTACAAACATTTGTATGTTTGTTGTATGTTTGTACATTTGTATGTTCACATACACATCACACCCAGACCCGTAACAACAATCTGTGGATCACACAAAGTGTTGTTCCGTGCGGAAATCGAACCCGCGACACGTTGCACGGCAGCCGGTTGCCCAGCCACCGTGCCAACCGTACAGTCATATTATATTTACAGATGTCTTTTCAAAACAAAATGGCACGTGAATTTGTCTAAACTTACCGTGGATTTTTAATTGAAGAATGAAGTTTTAATTGTACTAAGAAGTGGACTCTTGCTTTATTTGTTAGTTTGTTCATTTATTTATTTATAATGGGGATGATGACAGGGTATGAAAATTAAAAATATAATTAGTCCGTAAGTTAGGTAATGAAAAAATATTAGACATGTTTTTTTTTTATTTTGTCGTATAATAAAACAATACTTAGATAAAACGAATCAAAGTTTAGGAGTGGGGGCTAAAACGTCATTTCTTAGTATAAAATGTACTGAGAAGTGACGTCACGCGACATTTCAAATCAATATATCTTCGAAACTATTCGTTTCTGTGAGAAAAGAAAAAATACGTGTCTAATGTTTTTAAATAATCTATCAGACGGACATTAAAATAAAAATTAGTCGTCTACCCTATTCATGGAGGACTTACAGCTTATAAAAATAGATAAAAATAACAATAGGCGTAGCAATGAGCCAATAACAAGTCCTCACATTTAGCATTTGGAATAAATTATTTAATATGGTGTGAGTACTGAATACTATACAATATCAATACATAGTATAAAACAAAGTCGCTTTCGCTGTATGTCCGTATGTGTGCTTAGATCTTTAAAACTACGCAACGGATTTTGATGCGGTTTTTTTTAATAGATAGAGTGATTCTTAAGGAAGGTTTGTATGTATATACATATTGCACACGTGCGAAGCCGGGGCGGGTCGCTAGTTAAAAATAAAATGTTAAATATTGAAACAGATTTCATATTATATATTATTTTTATTACATTCAATACAGTGCCTTTAGCCAAACGCCACTTTAGCGCTTGTCTACAGAGAGAGTAGAAATCAAAATGTATGGGGATGACACTGACAAGTGTTAAAATTTACGTCAATCCCATATAATTTGGTTTTCTATTCTACAAGTATGTTATGTTGGTGGATTTATTTTACTTGGATTTATTACAATAATGTGTAGGGCACACGACGTGTACACACGCTAGACTATGACAGGTAGACAGAAGCGTTAATAACGAATGTCCTTCCTTATATAACACACTAGCTTTTACCCGCGCCTTCGCTCGCGTCACAAAAGGATAAAAAGTAGCCTATGTGACATATACCAATACATACAGCGCCATCTATACCAATACTTTTGTTTTCCCTCGGGAATATCAAATTTTTCCGGGATAAAAAGTACCCTATAATTTAATCCGGACTTCTAACTTTACGTCTGCAAAAATTCAAAGCAATCGGTTTAGTAGTTACAGCGTGAAAGCGGAACAAACAAACAAACAAACAAACTCACTTTCCGATTTATAACATTAGTAAGGATTATAATGAGGGTGTCACTACTTACTAATTAGTGATTTTAGTACAGACTAAACATATATGTAACAAAATAGACAAGCGCTAAATGGTATTTGGCTACAGCTGCTCAGCTGCTGATTCGTAGTCAATATCACATCTTGTTTAGTCACTTTAAAGTTTAATTTTCACATAAAACATAGTTATTGTACAGCGACACATGAAGCTATGCAATACCAGTGTGAACTGATCGTCGACTGAGTACAAAGATCATACAAAACGACGACTGCCTCGTTGGCCGTGTGGTCGCAAGTGCGACTGTTGAGCAAGGGGTCTCGGGTTCGATTCCCGGGTCGGGCAAAGTATTACTGGGTTTTTTTTTAAAGTAATCAAGTATTTATTGCATCCATAATGTACATATACAGGTGTTTAGAAAATATAATTATGTAAAAAACAATTATGGACCCTGTCGGGCACAGCAATATATACAATTGGTAGGAGAGAGGAAGGGCACTTTGTTAGATTAATATTAATATAATCAAAAATTAGTTCAATAGTATCAATGCTAGAGGCTCATATACATGTGCTGCTACTGAGCAGTAGCAGCGCGACAGTCGCGAGTCGCGAAATACTGCTCATGAATATGAGCCTCTAGCATAGCTTGAAACTAGTCGAGTTCCTCGTCAAACAGTTACACACGGCCACACATCAGTCTATACAAAACCAGTTTATCCTGGTGTCGCGTCGCATCATCTTTCCGCACATTTAACGCTCAGTTTATACTGGTTATGTAAAGCTCGATGTATAGCCGTGTGTACGTGAGAAAGCCGGAAACATAATAATTAAATAAGTCTCGCGTCGTGGTGGCCCGGAGGTTTAAGACGCCCACTTCTCATGCATGAGGGTTCGGGTTCGAAACCTACCAACGGCAAGTACCAATGTGACTTTTTCCGAGTTATATGTACTTCCTAAGATTATTTAGACACCACTGACAAACGGTGAAGGAAAAACATAGTGAGGAAACCTGGACTTATAATTTCTAATTATAAGTTTGAAATCGCCAACCCGCATTGAGCAAGCGTGGTGATTAATGCTCTAACCTTCTCCGTGTGAGAAGAGGCTTTGCTCAGCAGTGGGCATTTATAGGTTGTTGATGAAGTCTCGCGAGAGTATATTATAATGTAGAATGTGTGTTGTCCAGTCGCCGCGCGGCCCTGGAGGAGCAGTTGTCCCAGATAGGGTACATCGACGGCGAGTCCCCGCGGGCGCGCCCCGCGCCCGAGAAGCGCCACTCGGCGCGCCCCGCCTCGCCCACTCACACCGACATTGCTAAGAGGTATGTATGTATATTTATGCTATTTATGTGTTGTTGTCTTTTATATTTAATTAATAGTTATGGTTTAGCAAGTCCTGTGCGTTTAGCCAAACGCCACTTTAGCGCTTGTCTACAGGGAGACTAGAAATCAAAATGTATGGGGATGACACTGACAAGGGTCAAATGAATTTGAGGATTGTGTAGGATTCGGGGATTGGGGAGAGGGGGATAATTTGGCCTCCGGTAACCTCAGTCACACGACGAAATACAACGCTGTGGTTGTTTCACTATGGCTTTCGTTTAGTATCGAGCCGACCCATTCGGGCCGGAGCATGGATCTCCCACACTTTACATGTTTGCACGTCATCCTTTTGCTCTGATTCATTGATCTCTGGTTGAATTATACACTTAATAGGCTACGATGGAACTAACTTACGCCATGCGGTATAAAAATCCCAAAAATAAAAAAAAAACTAAATTTTGAAGCAGGTATCTTCAACCGATTGACCTGAAATTTTGTATACACGTCTAGTTTGCATGACCATTCATCATTATCATCATCAACAGCTTATAAAGCTCACTGCTGAACAAAGCCTCTTATTCACACTTCACACAGAGAAGGTTATAGCATAAATCACAACGCTTGCTCAATGCGGGTAGGCGATTTCAAACTTATAATTAGAAATTATGTTTAGTCTGCATGACCGTAAATTATTTATTGTTTTATTTTTAGCTATGGTCGTCCCACTGCAGGACAAAGGCCTCCCTCCTTCCACTCGTCTCTTCTTATAGCTTTCTGTGGCCAATCCTTTTCATAGGCGTCATGTTCATCCCGCCATCTCCTTCTGGGCGTACCGCGACCATAAATGCTTAGCTACATAAAACCTACTTTAAATGTAAATTTATTTTATCCACAGACTATGCAAAGACCGAGATAGCCCAATGGCTTCACTCACGGACTTTCCTACCTCCCTGGCTAATGTCAAACTTAGGTAAATATATAATATACTTTAAATCATTATTATATGTGTAGTTTATATGAGTTATATATTGAAATGGTACTTAATTTTATAGTTATACTAGCGGACCCGACAGACGTTGTCCTGCATGTCCACTTGAATGTATAAACAAAAATTCGTTCATATTAGTTCAGCTGTTTAGGATAAATAACCTAAACATCGACTGCAGCGCCATCTGCCGGGCTGATTTGTGAATCTAAACCATTCCCAGATCCCCTTGAACACACACAAAAATTTCATCAAAATCGGTCCAGTCGTTTGAGAGAAGTTCAGTGACATACACACTCACAGAAGAATTATATATACAAAGATAGAATTGTTTGTTTTGTTGGTATAGTTTTAGTTTTAAGGTTGGATTTGCATTCCTAAGTCTTGTGCTAAGTACGCTAGGATTTGTCTCCTGTGTTGTTAATGTTTTAACAAACATACATACAAGTTCACATACACATCACACCCAAACCCGAAACAACGATTTATGGATCATCCCAAAATTATTACTCTTAAAAATATTTAAAAAAATTTTTTTCGTTGCTTCCCTAACGGGTAACCGGGGCTCCGGCTCGAAGTGCAGGAGTAGGAACGGGGTGGTGTTTAGTCAGTAAGAGTCTGACACACCCTTCCGCCTCACCCAGGCGGGAGCAGTCATTCGATGATTTTTCCACCTTAAAAAAAACACTAGGATTTCCTCCTGTGTCGTGTGTACGTTTACAACCATACAAGTTCACATACACATCACACACAGACACGGAACTACAATTTGTGGATCACAGATACAGTTGTTCCGTGCGGTGTACCGAACCCGGTACCCGTTGCACGGCAGTCAGTTGCCCAGCCACCGCGCCAACCGTGCAGTCACGTCTGACACACAAGCTGACACTTTCATTTATTACAGTGTTGTTTCATTTATTTATTGAAAATGTACATATACAACTTTATTGTAACAAATCAATTTATTCATTACTAGCTACTTCCTCGCGGTTTCACTCGTTCTGCTGAGCTCCTATTAATCGTAGCGTAAAATTAGCCTATAGCCTTCCTCGATAAATGGGCTATCCAACACAGAAAGAATTATTCTAATCGGACCAGCAGTTTCGGAGATTAGCGCGTTCAAACAAACAAACAAAAAAACAAACTCTTCAGCTTTATAATATTAGTATAGATAATATTGAGTACCATTTCAATATTTTGTGATGTATAGTTTGTTATTTAGTTGTTATCATTATATGTTTAAATATCTATATAATATATATACTATACATAATATTATATTACACTATATACTTACGTGTCTGTATGTTTATTTGTATATAAAATTCTTCTATCATTGACTGCCTCGTTGGCCGAGTAGTCGCAAGTGCGACTGTCGATCAAGGGGTCTCGGGTTCGATTCCCGGGTCAGGCAAAGTATTACTGGGTTTTTATAAATGCTCAGTAGTAGCACGGAGCCTGGAATTGTGCCCGGTATATGGCAATAGGCTCACCCCCTATTACATGGGACTCATAACATAAATAGTGAAAAGTGGGTGTTACATTGTACAGTGGCATAATGTACACCTCTGCCTACCCGTTCGGGGATAAGAGGCGTGATGTTATGTTACGTTGTATGTTATATATATATTATTTGTATACATTTACAATTTCACATACATTACATGTTGTTCAAAATTATTATGACTTTAGACAGATATGTGTTTCAGAATATAGTATTTTATGTCTTATTGTGTATTTGGAAATTATCTCCAACAGCCCATCTTCCCCAGCCTCCTCTACATAAGAGGGGTATGACAGGCGGGTTAGAGGGCGCAGTATAAAAGGTTCAGGTTTATCAGAGAGCGCTGCTGCCCGGTCTCTGTCAATGTGTAGTCCGTTAGTCGGGTATGCGACACCCGCGGGAAGAGTAGCAGTGCTGAAAATAAATGTCTGTCTAATGTCATAATTTTATAAATACTCATACATAACATTATGAGATATTGTGTGAGCCATACCATACTTTATTTATTAAACAATTAGATATAGTTTTCGTTGTTTTGGATTTGTTACGTTGTAAATATTTTTAGAAGGTAGGTTTTTTATAGTAATAGCAAAAGTATAAAATTCTCAGTAGTAGCACGGAGTCTGGAATTGTGTCCGGTATATAGCAATAGGCTCACCCCCTATTACATGGGACTCATAACATAAATAGTGAAAAGTGGGTGTTATAATGTACAGTTATGTATGTAGAAAAAGTATAGTTAAAGTAGCATTTTGTCCGAATTATCAAATTATCTAGATTCAATTTAGAATTTTACTCTTTTGTCAAATATTATTTTCATAAGAATCGTCAAGAATTTAAGTAAGTATCTACCAGACCCGTCGCAAGAATTACAGGCTAAAAATAACATAAAAAAGTCCAGAAAAAAACACCAAACACATTAAAATCAAAATTACAATAGATCAAGTTTATATAACGTATTCTTTTACACGACTTCTCAAGGAGGGGGATTTTATCTAGTACTAGCTTCTGCCCGCGACTTCGTATGCGCAATCCCGTTTTCACCCACTCCCATAAGATTTTCAGGATTTTTTTCCTATCATCAGAACCGTCTCCTGACAATAACAAACACAACAAAAAATAATCAGTCAAATCGGTCTAGCCGTTCTCAAGTTATGGCGTGACAACGGGAAACGGGTTTCACTTTTATATATATAAGATAAGATAAGATACTAGCTGACCCGCACCCACTTCGTTGGGCGGTAAAGAGCCCATGTCACTGTCCATCCCTTTATTTAACTATCGCCACTTAAAAAACATCAATTCGTCACTCCGTTTTGCCGCGAAAGATGGACAAACGACATCATCATTATCCACAGGCTGCATAGATTCTCTTGATGAATATGTTAAATTGTTAATGATGAAAATATTTAAATGTAATTATATAGGCTATACTCGCGGCTTCGCTCGCGTCACAAAAGGATAAAGAGTAGCCTATGTGACATATACCAATACACACAGCGCCATCTATACCAATACTTTTCTTTTCCCTCGGGAATATCAAATTTTTCCGGGATAAAAATGTACCCTATTAGTTAATCCGGACTTCTAATTTTACGTCTGAAAAAAATCAAAGCAATCGATTTAGTAGTTACGGCGTGAAAGCGGAACAAACAAACAAACAAACTCACTTTCTAATTTATAATATTAGTAAGGATAAAACCAATACAGCATTTTACTATAAAAAGAACAGAACAACTCCAAAACAACGAAATATTTTAAACCGATAATAACACAACAACATATAGATGTTATAACAAACCTCTAAATTTCCGCTTACGACTAAAATCTAACATTTGCAGAGAAAGAAATTCACCAAGGAAATCGAAAACACGATACAGTGGCATGCATTTTGACACGGACAAACAGACAAACAGACTCAGTTGGCATGGCAAAGATGGACATTCTACATTCACCAAAGACGGTCATTCTACCTTAATAAAATCGACTGGCCAGTTGAAAATTCAGTCAGTAATTTGACTACAAGCACAATTAATTCTAGCCCCTAACGCCTGTAACTCCTGTTTATGATCCCTTAGAAAGCGACTCGGAAGTTAGCGAGGCTAACAAACACACTATACAAATTAAAAGTGAAGTTTGCGACTCCTGCGAGCAAGAGAAATGTCTCAAATGCGAGCTCAGAGCTACGGACTACGAAAATATAAAAGACTTCACTGAATTGCACGATAGTTTAGAACATAGTCCACATTCGACAGATATAAGCTATCATAATCTTAATCGACTATCAGCTGTGTCCAACTCCTCGAATTCAGATCATACGGACAAGAAAAAGGATGACAATGACGTCATGAAAGTTATGACGTCATCACACGAGAGTTCTTCCAGTTATTCCAACGTGAGTTTGACGAAAGGAGATGAGTTGTACGAATGCTATAATTATACGAGACCAAATTATATCAATTTGCAGTCTTCAAGTACTAGTAAAAGTTCGCCAGGCAGTCCTTTGAAAAGTCCATTGAAATCCACTATAAGTATTACATTCCGATCTCCAACAAAGAGTAAAAATTTTGAGGACACGCCCACTAATGATAGGGATTCAGTTTACGAAGACATTGATTTAGAGAAGAACTTGTCCATAGTTGAAGACGCGAGCGTCCCACAGACTGATGCCTGCTTACCCACTCAACAGGCTTGCCAACCTAACGATATACAGGACCTTATAATCCTAGAAACACCCACAGAAACGAATCTAGATGAAGACCTAGACGTATACAGCCAAGTCAAGTTTTTCAAAAAGAGCATAGATGAGGTGAACGCTATGTTGCTTCCAGAAGATAGACATTATGAAAATATTGCGTTCGAGAAGCAAAATGATTACGAAAACATAAACGTTGATACTCTAAAGATTTGTGATAAAGATATGAGTGACGTAGATAACACAAAGCCGGTCGAAAATGGTAATTTTAAGAGTATGAATGTAAGAGAGCTAGCCATACGCTTCGAGAGTCCTACTGAACAGAAATCAGCATTCACTTTCGAAAAATTCAAGGCTGAAATCAAATATCCGAGCCTAGAACGCAAGGATGAGAAAAAAGTCATCGAAATTAAGAAAATAGACTTAAAAACACCATCTGTATCGCCAAAATCTTATAAATTGTCGAAAAATTCTTGTAATGCGAGGTCTTTAGATGAGAATGCCTTCATAAAGGAATTTGGCAACGACCAATCAAACGATAGACGCAAAAGTCTAGAGGTAAAAACTTCAAAGAAGCTACCGGACTTGAATTTGAACACGGACACGAACACAAAGTTATTATAACGCCGACGACGGAAAACAAAATCTCTCTAATACAACGCTTCGACCGACCAGACGTTAAGAACATTATAAGCTTCGATTGTGATAAAAAATTGAGCCGGAACGAATAGAGAAGTACAAAGAAGAAAGGAGAAATTTCCTCAGAGAGAAATATAGTTCGCAGTCTTTCCGTTCAAACCCTGAACAGTTAACTAGAATCAAAATTCGAAAAGATAGAGAAGACAGAATTGAGACGTGTGAAAGACTAAAAGAAGAGGTGCCTAAATTTGAGAGGAGGAACACAGTAGATCTAGGTCAAAGATTAAGGTTCAGTCTAGCTAAGAGTAGTACTAATTTGGAGTCTATTCCATCTCCTACCAGTCCTGATGATGAGAGGGAGTTTAAGGGTGAACATGATGACAGGAGTCAATACGAGAGGTAAGTGTCTTTCGGAATAGATTTTTTGGAAGATATTTTTAAATCTTTAGGAAGAATTTTTAGTATTTTTCCAGTTTTAAGCTATTTGTAATGATATTTAGGTGTCGTATTTGGTTTCAGTATAATAACTGAAGAAATTTAATGTAAGTTGAGGTTATCCATGTTTAAATATTTATTTATTAACAAATATTGCTATTGTTAATAATAATAATGAACAATTAAATTGGTTTTTCTGAAATGCACTGAAAAAAATCTTTATCAGGGGTTGGGTACAATATGGTTGTTATTCGCGTCTTTCCAATATGGTTATTGCCAACTTTGACATTATTAAACAAAAATAAAACAAAATTCACCTTTATTGCTATGAAGTTAACTTTCAAAAACTCTACATTCACTTTGATCATCACAATAAAAGGAGAATTAAAAATATCTTCCAAAATTACACCTCTTTTGTGAAAATTCTTATATCTGTCGTTTTTTGTGACAATTGGCTTTTGAAATTTAACAATAACCAAAATTGTACGTCGCCCTACATAGTACTAGACCAGCTGAAAAATATCTATAATATAATTGGGTACTTACCTTAACCCTTTGAGTACCGTCATTATAGACACAATTAAAGAACAATAGATTACGGTCACCGGTGTCCTCGCGGTGTTTGACAGTTTAATGAACTGTCTTCTCGATCCTTCGACTGTTCAATACAATTAAATATTAAAAATGATCACACTTTCATCAATTGATTTTATGACCAACTTCATTTTAGCATCTTTCCAGCAAATATTTAAGAAATAACTACGCTGTTTTGACGCTAAAAACCGTGGCGTCACAACACACAATCTCGTACAAAATTCATAGAAAACAATCGTTTTTGACAGTTCGAAAAAAAGTATTGAATTTGACCAATTGGCAAGTACCCAATTCAAACTCACTCCAACTCCTCTAGAGTGTCCTTGAGCGGCGCTGATTGCTTACCATCAGGTGATCTATCAGCCCGCAAAAAGATACATACAACTTTTGTATAATATCATCATCAGCCTGTATTCGTCCACTGCTGGACATAGGCCTCTCCAATGGCACGCCACTGAGCTCGGTCTTCAGCTCTTCTCATCCGACCACTGCCAGCCACCTTGCAGATGTCGTCACTCCACCTAGCTGGAGGGCGCCCTACACTGCGTTTGCCCAGACGCGGTCTCCACTCTAGAACACGTTTACCCCAACGGTTATCGGTTCTTCGACAAATGTGACCGGCCCACTGCCACTTCAGCTTACTGATCTTTTGGGCTATGTCAATAACTTGCATGATATAAATAATATCAATTAATATTCGTATAATTTCTGTTATAGAAAAGAAAAAATGTCGCCCTCATACAACATTAAGGATATGACAGCGATCTTCGAGCAGAAGTCTCACCCACATACCGGTTGAACGGAATCTCTTACGACGAGTATTTATTATTATTTAGTTGAAACTGTGATGGGGACTTCTACAATATATACTACTGATTGACTAGCTGTTTAACAAAGTATTCTAAACGAGTAAGCGTTCAGCGCTCTGAGGGCCAAGCACGAATAACTATCGCATTCGTATCGTAACAGTATCGAGCGAGTTAAGCGTTCTGATTGGTTGGTTCACTTGAGCCGGCCAATCAGAGCGCCGAACGCGCTCGATACTATTACGTTACGAATGCGATAGTTATTCGAGCTTGGCACTCTGATTGGCCAGCGTTAATGAAGCAACCAATCAGAGTGCCGAACGCGTACTCGTTACGATTACTTTAAACATAAAACAAACTTGTGCTAAAGCTTCTGCTTAGCTCGTATTGTTTATTGCGTGATGTTTTATTGCCTTCTTCGATAAATGAACTAATTGGCATAGCATTTAATGCACTTTTGAAATGTCAACGTATATGGTAATAGGCTCACCCCCTATTACATGGGACTCATAATATAAATAGTGAAAAGTGATTGTTACATTGTACAGTGGCATTAAGTGTCGTAATGTGCACCTCTGCCTATCCCTTCGGGATAAAAGGCGTGATGTTATGTTATGTTATAACGTCAAAATTTAATTCCTCTTCAGTCTGTCTGTCTGTGTAGCTATGGAGAAGAACGAGCAAGAAACTCCATTCGTTACTCTTTTGAATTATGATATTGAGTCGTGTCACTTAATCGGATATGCGACACCCACGGGAAGAGTAGGGGTGTTAACTTAATATTCATCTCTGCCGTCACCCATCACAGTAGCCATGTAATTTTGTTATTAATTTATAATTATTATTATTATAAATGTAAAAGAACTCATGTATTGTAATTTGTGAAATATTTTCTTTTAAGTTATCGTCTATAAGCATGCATTATATGGTTATTGTGTTTATATACATGTTTTATGTGTATGTAAGTTTGTTCATTTTGATTTTCTAAGATAAGAAGTGAACTGTCAAGTATGAGGTAACAATTTCGATTCTCGATTTGGGTGAGCACGACTGTATAGTAAGTAGTATCGTGAGATTGAACCCAAGGTTAGGAAAAACTTAATTTTCAAAATTCTTAGTATATAATATCAGTATGAATTTACGAATTATGTCTATAATATTAACATAATAACTGTCTAATTAAGTCCCTTCCTACCTCTTCGTGGATTTAAAAGCAAGATAGTCTGACTCTAGAATCGAACCTGAAATGATTCCCTTTACAGTCGCACTTGATTGCCACTAAACCAACGAGGCAATCTTAATCAAAACTAACATATAAACATACACATAAAAATATATATAAAAACAACAAAAAAAATCTAGTTTTTAATGAAATAAGTCACTTGTTACGTTAAATTATTATTTATTGACTATTATTACTATTAACTATTAATAATACATTATTAATTTTATTGTCAACTCATATACGTTGGGCTTGAAGCGGTATTACAATTGTTAGCTTCGATTCTCCGGCAATGAATTTCATATTTTCTCTACCAACTTCTCATAAACCAACTCTTAGCTAAAAGTCATTTAGCTTGCACCTAAACTAAACCCTTACTGGTACTGTTGGGTGTCACTTATAAGTTTGTAAAAACCAAACTCGTCTTTAAGTGCCACCTATCTTAGTTTAGGTGCCTTAAAATTTGAGTGAGGTTGGTCAAAACGGACAATTGTGACTGTTTTGTATTTTTTTTAATGTCCGTCTGGTAGATTATTTAAAAACATTACACACGTATTTTTTATTTTCTTACAGAAACGAATACTTTCGACGATATATTGATTTGAAATGTCGCGTGACGTCACTTCTATGTAGATTTTATACTTGAGAATGACGTAGCTAGCTCCCTACATCTAAATTTTGATTCATTTTATCTAAGAAACTTTTGCCAGCTGCCTTGCCCGCATTTCATTGAAAGAAAGAAAGAATAATTGTTTATTTGCACCGTAACAAATTAAAAAAAAACAAAGGAGAACAGTAATACAAAAAAAAAATGGTAAAAGTGTACACGGCGCAAAAAGGCCAAGTGTTCAGCTGAAATGCCGTGACCCGAGAGCGGTAACTCAAGTCGCGGCGCTGATTTTCAGCACTAGCCCTATTGAGATACAAAATAGCCTATGTGTTATTCCACACCATAATGTACCCCTGTACCAAATTTCATCCCGATCCCTTCAGCCGTTCTGACGTTATTTAGTAACAAACATACACACAAACAAACAAACACAAACTTCCGTATTTATAATACTAGCTTTTACCCGCAGCTTCGCTCGCGTCACAAAATGATAAAAAGTAGCCTATGTGACATATACCAATACACACAGCGCCATCTATACCAATTCTTTTGTTTTCCCTCGGGAATATCAAATTTTTCCGGGATAAAAGTACCCTATTATTTAATCCGGACATCTAACTTTACGTCTGCAAAATTTCAAAGCAATCGGTTTAGTAGTTACGGCATGAAAGCGGAACAAACAAACAAACTCACTTTCTTATTTATAATATTAGTAAGGATTACATCAACAGCTTATAACTGCCCACTACTGACCAAACCAAACCTCTTCTCACACGGAGAAGGTTTGAGCATTAATCACCACGCTTGTTCAATGCGGGTTGGCGATTTCAAACTTATAATTAGAAATTATAAGCCCAGGTTTCCTCACGATGTTATTCCTTCACCGTTTGTCAGTGGTGTATAAATAATCTTAGAAAGTACATATAACTCGGAAAAAGTCACATTGGTACTTGCCGAGATATACTGAGAAGCGGCGTGTTAAACCTCCGGGCCACCACGACTATAAAATCAAAGTCAAAGTCAAAGTATTTATTTCAATTAAACCATAGTTTGGTACTTTTGAAAAGTCAACAAATAATAGTCTGTCAGTCAGTCCGTCAGTAAAACTAGGTGAAGCTAGTTGCTCATTCCAAAAAGTAGACTCGAATGGAGAAGAACGAGCAAGAAACTCCATTCGTTACTCTTTTTAAAAAAGTATTTTCTATAATATTAACAAGCTACTTCCGCGCGGTTTCACACGCTCTGCTCAGCTCCTATTGGTCGTAGCGTGATGTTTTATAGCCTATAGCCATCCTCGATAAATGCGCAATCCAACACAAAAAGAATTATTCAAATCAAACTTGTAGTTACGGAGATTAGCGCGTTCAAACAAACAAACAAAAAACAAACTCTTCCGCTTTATATAATAGTATAAGATGAGATAACAAAATACGTGTCTAATATTTTTTCATTGTCTAACTGACGGACTAATAACATTTTTAATTTTTATTCAGCATACATTTATTTTCCACTCAAGCAAGGACGATGATACTATGTCTCTCTATAATCTGAAAATTCTCAGTTATAGCGCTGAGTCTGACATTGTGCCTGATCGAATAATGTTACGCAGGACCCATGACATGACTCTATTCAATGAATCAATTTTGACTACAAATAAATCCAAGAAATCTGTTCATATAAAAGTAGTCTCTAAAAATCGGAAATAAGCTCCATAATGAAGTGAGTGAAGGATTTAGAATACAGATTTGCCATGAAATACATGCATTTACTATATTTTTGTATAAAATGTAATTATTCTTTAGAATAGTACGTTCTAAATAATACAAATGTTATTATGAAATATACAAAAAAAATATATTAAATGATAACTATCGTGAGACATACTCAATTAACTTAATGGTCTACTAGTTTCGAGTGTCAGAGGGGCTTCATGACCGCGCACACTGTTCATGAGGAAGAGCCCCTTTGTAGTTCTAAACTAGTAGAGCTTTTCTCAATATTTTCACGTGAGTAACCCGCGATTTTAGTTAAATTAAAGTCTTATGGAATATTTCATTCAGTAAACGTTTCGTTCCTATATGGAATTGATATTTAACTCATATTTCAATAACCTATCTATCTCTATATATTTTCTTTGTCATGGGTACAGCCACGTACCGTCCCCTACCCCCCCAGTCCTCCCCAATGACTACATACCGCGAGGTTGGAAGCAACCTGGATACAGCGACTGTCGCAGACCTTTATGTAGATTTGCTTACAGATACTATGTTAACATAAGTGTACAAAATATGTCAAAATTTATATGATAACTTTCATGAGACATACTAAATGAATTATTATGTTTTTTGGCTTACTCAAGTAATGACGAGGAAATCGACTAGTTTCAAGCCATGCTAGAGGATTCATGAGCAGCATTTCGCGACCCGCGATTCGGAGAATGTCGCGCTGCTACTGGCTCGAGTCTGCGGTGTGAGCCCAACGCGCCCTCTGCCGTGATTCACGCGCAACCACCTCTATCCGTGGTATCGGCGCGGGGGCGCGCGCGACACTTGTCACGTTAGACACTTTCGCGTACACGGCGGCTGCGTAGGTGTTGGGTACGAATCCCAGGTCGGGTCTAGTAAAACTCAGTACTCGTTACTCTATAAAAGTGTTACTCAGCTCATCTCTACTCTAGTAAGCAAATATACAGATAGGTAGGTTATTGAAAATTAAACCTTATTTAACAGACAATAAAATATATAATACTCTGAAAATACTTAAATGTTTTTTGTAAAATACTTCACAAATCATGGTCTATGTATGTATTTATGAATTATAATAGCATTTGTTTTTACAAAATTAATTAAAATCAACTTTCGAGGACGCCCGACCAATTTCAAGTTATACCAGGGCTCATAATTAGCTATGGAGCGAATTAATTAATGTTAAATGTATATACCAATGTACGTATGAAGCTATTGTTTAAAAAATATTGAAGCTGGCTCTTATGTACCTATTTATAATTGGTTTGAGGTTGCAATTTCAAAAATTTCGATTTTACCTAGTTGGACTTTTCCAAAAATATGTATTTGTATAGATAGGAATCTCTACATTATTTTTTTTTTCGATACACGCAATACTGCCGAAGATGGAATCCTGCATTTTTTTCTCGGGTCGTA